CTGGACGTTGGCGAGATTTTACCGAGGAACCAATGGACGTAGTGACATTTGGGGACTCGATTCGGTTTCTTCGTTTCTGGGGAACTTGAAAAGCTTTCGCGTGTCTCCTAGAATGTCATCAGTTATGAGTAACAAAGAGGCTGTGCAGAAAACGCAGGAAAAGATAAACACTTGGCTGGGGGAGAACCGTATCGTGGTTTTTGCAGCCCCGGGATGTCCGTATTGCTTGAAAGCTAAGAATGTTTGTTCATCGGACGTTTATATGACCTTAAGATTAAATTATACCCTATTTATACTTCCAATGACGAAAATTAACTTGATGAAATTCGACGTCCATTTACGTGAGTTAATGTGTGTGATAACTTGCTAGAGAATACCGATTGTCTTATTCAATATTTATCGTGAAATGTTGCATACCCTTCTATAATCGATAGCTATCAAATTCATTTGAACAGGAAGTAACGATCTGAACTAGGAAGATAAAATGGACGCAAACTAAAAAAATCTGGAGCATTTCCTCTGCGCAATTTTTTCCGTGATACATCTTTGTCATTGGCTTGAAATTTTTCATACTCAATGCAATGAAAGCATCTGAATGTGAAGCAATGACTTGATTCAGGTACAAGAACAACGGGTATTCAACATTAAATCTAAGAAAGCGTCCGTCTAACAAATTTTTAGTTACTCGTGTTTGTCAAATGACAAGTTAATGGTTACAAAGTCAATTTAATTTGAATTTAAGCTAAGAGACAGCATTTCTCTGCAGTCGTTCACAACATCGCATTGTAACTATAATTTCCCGTTTGAGTAGGTGTCACATTTTTGATCAATGCTGAGTATATTACATACCATGGTAGTCGTATAAGACTGTGGTCAAACCCGTTATAATCCCATTCATGCCTTCGATTTGTAGGCTTTGGAAAGCGTGGGATGCACGGACTACAAACTGGTGAATGTTCCCTCGGAAAAAGACGCTCCGGTAATCCTAACCTTACTCGCGCGGATGACGAGAAAGAAACCAACGGTGACTGATTGATCGCTTGCTAAAATTAGTAACTTTGCATGATTCTCCTCTTGATTCGGGTGAAGGTGCCGAAAGTATTCGTGAATGGGAAGTTCATCGGTGGTGGGAATGCACTCGCGCGATTGCGGGATAGTGGTCAACTTGCAGATATGGTGAAAGAATGAGAGAGACCCGTTTATTCTTCTTTTATTTATATACTCGTCGGATGTGGTGGAGGATTTTGTTCTGTACCGATTTACGCTGATAATACAAAAAAGTTGTCAACTCCGAGCATGCAGAGTTCTCTTCAAGTTTTGGACTCATGTTGACTTTCTGTTTTAGCTAATCTTCTGTTTATATATAGCTGTTGGAACGTGACAGAAACAGATGTGAAATTTCTACTGATGAAAGAATGTCCGTCAGGGAAAAGGCCGTTGCAACGGAAGATAATAAGGAATGGAACATTTATTAATAGTCCAATTCCGTCCTCCAACCCATCAAAAAGGTAAAACCAAGATATATGGAGCTAGTATTATTTGGATGCTTACAAATTTTTGATTCTGGATATACGAAGTGCATCAAAACTAGAGATGGACTTGTTATGGCAGAACTCGAAATTTGTTGTAGAGAGATGTTTGTTCCAGAGAAGTGAGAGAACCTCTGTAGTATGGATACAGGGATACCTGTTAGTCCTATAGGACCAAAAGAAATGTATTATGGAGCAAAAAATTATTGTAAACAAAATGTTCAAGAGTCTATGCTTGTGTATGGTTTCATTCATGTAGTTCCTCATAGGAGAGCTGTGCATGACATCAAGAAATTGAGCATGCATGGATACAAGTTCAGTCTTCAATTTTGCAGGATGGCTTGATTTAAAATGACACAAGCATTTAGTACGCTATAAATTGGAGCTTGAAAATGTATAGCAACTTAACCTTTGATATGGTGGCAGATTCTTTTCCATTGTGTGGTATAGTGCTGGGAAATTTTTGCATGTTTTTGGTTTGACCAAAAGGTCACCTTCTGCATTTTGGTTTGACTGCAGGTCACCAAAATGCAGATTTGGCAGAGTAGCCAAAGTTGGGGCAAAATTCAGGAAAGGGAAAATCATTGTTTTCATAATCCCTAAATGGTAATCCTACCATGCACAGGAATGCAGGAAAAAGTAACCCAACTTGCAGTAACTGTTTTGTTGTGATTAAAAAGTTTCCCTAGGATTGAGGAAAAATTTGGGAGTTTTCCTAACTTTGGCTACTGCTGGGTGTTTCATTTTGTTTTGCCTGTGGCACAAAATTGTGCTAATAAGTTTCAGAAGTGCCACTTTTTGAGTGTTGAATAAATGAATCTTTGTTGAGTAGAAGTGACATCTACCTGGTAAATCAGTCAAAAATTTCATTCTCCACATGATCCCTTGATAGAAGACAAAAACGTGTGAGTTGCATGATTTAGTAGTCCAGGAATGATGTGATATCCTAATTTGTTGAGTAGAACCGTTCTTGTACGCATCTCATTATTCATACTTTGTTTCGTAGTTTTATACGTGTTCCTTGTTTTTTTTTTTCCGTGCGTACATGTGTTACAAACGATGTCGATTGATGGACTTGATCGGATCATGACGTGATCGCGTGTATTTCTTCTTGATAGCTTCGGCCGTAGAAATTATTTTTCATTGTACTATTGAAACTTCATAACTCGGATTAACCTCCCCACGCAATTTTTTGAAGTCCGTTCTGAATTTCCCTTAGAAACACTGCATAGAAGTCTCCTTAGCTCAAAGGCTTTCTCTTCCTCAATCGAATTTTCTGCAGACCTTTTGGCTATTATTTTTTTTTATACGGGAAAGATAAAAACAATAAAAATGTAACTTGATTTGCTTTGCAATGAAATGCAAGATTAATTTGGAAAATGAGCCCATGTTTCCAAGTTCAGCATCCTGTCAACTCAATTAAAACATAATTTAAGGCCCAGAATATCACCAGCAGTCACAATTTCCTCATAATTTTTTAAAATTCTTTCTACGCCCCTCCCCCAAAGAAAATGCTTGTTTTGTTAACTAAAGAAGCATCCTTGAATCGAATATTTCTGGTCCTGAATTAATTTAAGCTTGAAAAGGTTTGACTGTACAGTATTTTCATTCAAATTCTTCCGTTTTCTGCCGCTGTGTTTTTTTTCGCGTCATTTTCTCACCGCGCCGTCATTGATCAGTTCATCTAACTTCGTGCAACGGAAATGAATCGGTCGTCGCATCTTTTTTATTCCCCCTGGTCTAGGCATTTTCTATCACTTCTCTCTGATGCTGCCAGATTTGCTTCCTCGTCGTCATTTTCTTTTAGACACTGGAGAAGCTGCTTGGACGCGTTCGAGCGTCGTGAGCACTCCCTTATTAACCTCAAGTTGTAACCGTTGGTGAGCAACTTCCGCGTTGTGTGTGTGTGTGAAGGTCACTCCAGTCTTGGGAATAACGTCAAGTTTGTGTCCCTTTTTCATTACGTGGCACCTTTTGTGTGCTCTGCGGTTCCGCGTCGATAAGCGCATTATGTGCTTTGTGTCGAGCCATTCAGAGGTTCCTGTTTCAAATGTTGATCCCTTTCTATAAGTGACTTAATTTTGTTGAGATTGATTTTGTCTTGCGGAATGGGGTTTATCTGTATGTCGTCGTCATCGAAACGAGAATATCGACGTGTATCTCGTTTTGGAAGTTTAGTCTCGCGTTGTTTCAAGCTCATTGATACGATGAGTCGGCGCGGTCAGGGTTTTTTTTATCGTGTTGTGAACAAGTTCTTCTTTGTACAAAAGCTCGTCATCATTTGCGAATGGTCTAGTGCTGGTGTTGCGAGAGGTGATGATTTTTGAGTTTTCATCAATGATTGATTTCATGCAGTGTCGGAGAAAATTGTGAGACGCGACGCGCGAGCTGATGATTTTCAATATTGCTGTATTCTAAGTTTTCTTTGTCTTTGTTGTTTTAAGTGCGTTTGATAAATAGTTTTTCGTGCTTTTAAACACATTGGTTAGTACCTTTTGTCTGTTTTCTGCTTTCCTTGTTCGATGATGTAATTTTCAAAAAGTAAGATGAAGCACAGTACTTCCCGTATCAACATTTTCGGCGTCATAAATTGAGGAATGCTGCGGAGTTCGAATTGCGTTTCATTCTGCAAATGAATTACATGCCTCACCCGGATGCTTATATGCCAAGTTCTGAAGCATATTTACAATTTTAAAACTTATTGTCGAAACAAATGTTCGACGCCAAGTTGCAGGCTCAAATTTAAAAGAAGTTTCGATTTTGTCGAAAGTTTTGTTCCATCCATTGTAACAATTTCTAATGTATATCTCGTATCTTCAATTTTCTTCGAGATTTTCGCTCGTTGACGCCTTTATATTAAGCACTTTGAAATGTCTATACTTATCTGGTATGATTCCATGACATATGATCCAATTGCCACCGTCTGTTGACGTTTTTCAGGTGCAGTGTTTTCCAGTGCCATTTTCAATTTGCTTGTTTAAAAGTCTGGGTAAGAAACTCGGTATTATTGAAACATGGCCTTGAGTGACCTTGAGTTGAACAGTGGCACGAAGATGCCCATTTTTGGCCTTGGAACTTGGCAGGTACGTTTTCTCCCGATTTCTTTGCATTCCACGATCTATTTATCTAAATTTTTTGCTGATATATACAGTATAAACTGAATTTTAGAAAACCTAACAGTGATGCGTTGAATAAAAGGGGTTATTTTGAATCCATCTGCGAAATAATGTCCTACTTCGACTTATGCATAGATAAGTGATTTACCGTATATTGTACTCAGCGGAAATGAGTGGAGCTGTTACTAAGCATTGTCAATTATCATACGTTGTGAATAGTTTTAATTTCGCCAAGAAAACATTTCATCAGCGTGCAAATGAATGTTGTTGCAAACTTGTAATGTCCCTATTTTAACCTGTATATACGCATCGGTCAATTCTTGAAAATTACAATCTACTCTTTGTCCTGTACTTCATGAGTTATTTTTGTGGATGAAGAAAAGTCTGATTTACTCTCGGCATTTATTTGAAAATCTCGATTGATTTTTTGCATGCATTTTCCGGTAATAATTATCTTTTTGGCGAGAGAACATGTGTTCAAGTAGGTTATTAATTCATTTTCCCGATTTAGATGTAAATCTTATTGCAGAAAATTCGGGAATATTTTCTGTATCCTCTGGATCACTTGACAACGTAAAACTTGTTTCCATTGTGGAAGATCGGGAATGCTGTACTTGGAATTTTTTGTGTTGATCGCGTTCCAGAAGTTTTTTCGCTTGCAAATCCGGGCGATGAACAAATAAAGGCTCCACACGCTTCCCAGGGTCGAAAGTATTCAAATGTTGCATTATTTTTGGATGCTGTTGTCTATCAATATCCAGAATATGTCATGTGGTTCAATTTTTTCGTCAGTACTGTCGGGTCGTTTTTACCAGACGACCGTGGTTATAATTTATAAATATTCATGTATTTGAGCAGAGCAGGGATGAAAGTGCGGAAGCTGCGATTGACTGCGCCCTGGAAAACGGGTATCGGCTGATTGACACCGCTTACGTATATGGAAATGAGGCTCTTGTCGGGAAAGTTCTCAAGAAACACTTCGACTCCGGAAAGCTCAAGAGAGAGGACATCTTCATCACCACGAAGGTAGATCAAGATTTGTGGACGATTACTCTTCTGATTTTAAACTTATACGGTGGTTTTCATAGTTTCTGAACCCGACCTCTGACATTTTTCGGGTAGACAAGATTGTAAAAAGAAAATAATTACGTAACCCGTAATTTTTTCAAGTTCTGGGATTTTTTTCTTAAGATTGAAAACAGTTTTTAAATTTACTGCGTGATGATTAGTGAACACTTTCCATTTACAGCCAGAGTTCTCCACCCATGTCTCAGGGGGCTAAAAATGAGTCAGGCCAACTAAGAAATCGAAATTTGTTTATACTCATACAGTACAGTATTTTCTTTATTTTAGATAGCAGTTGAAACAAACAAAAAATTACAATCCTTTTTCCCAGCTTCCAAACACTGCAAACAGACCGGAATCCGTTGAGAAATACTTGAAGAAAGAATTGGCCAGCCTTGGATTGGATTACGTCGATTTGTACTTGGTGCACATGCCAGTTGGACTGGTTGAACTGAGCGAAGATGACTTGTTGCCTACAGACAAAGAAACGGGTATGGCGTTGTTTGATCCCGACAGTGATCATGTCAAGTTGTGGAAGGCAAGTATGCTTCGTTTTTTAATGATACACTATTTGAAGAGGATAAAAATAATGAAAATCATAGATAATAAAAATTTTTATAACTAAAATATTTTTCTCGACATTAAATTCCACTAAAATGTTTCCTATGAATTTCGAACTTTGTGGACGAAAATTCAATTTATAGTGGAGAAGCTTTTCAAATTTCATTAACTTCGTGGTTTCTTCATAAATGTACGATGATTGTCAACAAATCAGTAAATCAAGTTTGTATGAATGAACGTCCGATTTTTGAGGAAGATGTCACTATTTTGTAATGCAATCTCGGTTACGCGAATTTTTCCGTATTATTTTTCTTGGTCCCGAGGCGTTTTCTGTATTTCATTTTGAGTTTTTCTTCTTAAAATCAATGAATCGAACCTATTACAACGTACTAGTGTCAGAATAAGTGCTGTTTCTCTTCCATTTGTGGAAAGAAATATTGAGATATTCCTTGAGTATTTGTCATCCTCGTTTCACAGGCCATGGAAGAGCAGTTTGAAGCAGGCAGAGCAAAGGCCATCGGTGTCAGTAACTTCAATATCCAGCAATTGCAGCGAATTCTGGACAACTGCAAAATTCCGCCGGCAAACAACCAGGTTGAAATTCATGCGTATCTTCAGCAACCGGAATTGGTCAAGTTTTGTGCGGACAATAAGATCACTGTGACCAGTTATGCAACTCTGGGTTCTCCAGGAAGAGTAGATTTTCATGAGGCTCTGGGACTTCCAAAAGCGTGAGTTCATATACAGTATATGCAGGTGAACCTCAATAACTTGAACCTCCCTAAGTCAAAAGTCAAATTTTTTTTAAGATCCCCTCTGAATCCCCTTAGAAACAATAGATAGAAAACCTCCCTAGGTCAAAGGCTTTTCCCCTCCAACCTCTGTAAGTCGAATTTTCTTAGACCTGTTGGCCATTATTTTCTTCAAAAAATAAATAAAAAAAGCAATAAAACAGAAACTTATGTGTTTTAATGTTTTAAAGGAAGTGAAAGACTTAATTGTATAAATAAACCCCTGCCTCCGAGTTCAGCAGCCTTTCAACTCATTTAAGAAGCCATTTAAGCTTTAGAATATCTCCATTTAAATTTTTCCAAGTTTTCCAGAAAAAAGGGCTTTTTTCCTACCTATAAAATTCCTGACCTCCGTAAGTCAAATTTTTTTGCAGGTCCCTTGAAATTTGACTTAGAGAGGTTCAACTGTATATATATATATATGTATATATGCATATAAGGAACAGCGCTGATATTTGATTGAAAAGAGTAACTTTGACCAGGATTATTTCACATTTTTGTCAAGAGAATTCCTCCATTTTTTGCAATCATTTGAATATTTTGAAGGTACCTGCCTGGAAAACATACCTTGTTGTTCAGAGTTGTACAATATTTCAGGGTTCACTGAGGTATTGTTTTAAATTTCTTTTGTCAAGATGGCCAATTTCTTGTGATCCTGTCCCATTCCCGCGTACCCCTGGCGTAAAAAAGAACCCCCCAATTTTTTTTCTTGACCAATATTTTTTAAGCCTCTTAGTTAATACAGTACAGGGAACGTTGTTCTAGCAAATGCGGGTTTGAAGATTGTTTTACTTTTTTTTGGAACCACCTTGTATAAAATACTCATGTAAAACTCAATTTTTCTCGCAGAGAAATCCCAGATTTGATGGAAAATCCGGTTGTTGTGGAAATTGCTGAAAAGCATAGCAAGTCACCTGCTCAAATCCTCCTGCGTTTCATCATGCAATCGGGCATTGCTGTGATCCCCAAGTCCGTAACACCTGCGAGGATCAAGTCAAATTCTGAAGTGAGTTTTCCGTTGAAGAAAAAAAATTCTAGATACAGTATTTTCATGCATCATTTTTGTTTCTATATTCGTATACTTAAGGTTTTCGATTTTGAATTGTCTGCTGATGAGATGGCTTCAATGAAAGCACTGGACAAAGGGCCGAAAGCTCGTGGTTTCACCATGGTGGATATTTTCAAGGGGTGAGTCAATTATTTTTACATATTGCGTATCGCATTTATTCCTCTGCCGCATGCGCATTATGTTTGCAAATATTGAAAGGGAAGAAAATGGCGTGCGCATCGGATATTTACAGTACCTATAAAGTTAATTCTCATAAAAATTATTTTCTGGTGTATGTTAAAATTGAGAAAATTGGCTGAAAATCCCTGACTGATATTTAAAATGTAATTGTTCAGAAGCTATCTGAAAGGAAAATCTGAATTTAGCCTTTATAAAAGATGAATGCAGTTGATTTTCAGTCCTTTTTGCAATTTAATTCAGAATTTGTTTGAGTTTTATGAGACAAGAGTTCGAAAGATTGTTTTTATGTCTTCTTTTTTCAAATTTTTTGTTAACAAAATTCTAGTGTTGTCTTATACTTGAGATTTTCAGATAAATAGATATTGCATCATATATATTTGTGTTGATATTTTTTTTTCCAAAATTTTGATGCGCAGTATCTAGTGTTTCCATAAAATTTAATTTTTAAATCGATGGCCTAGTTTTTGACTCCGCTTTTTTACTTTCTATTATTCAGGATTGTGGATCATCCCGAGTTCCCCTTCCACGACACTCTCAAGGCTTAAAGTTTCATTGAAGAATCTGAATTCAGCGCAAATTTTGGCACTCCAGAAAACCAGTGAAAGCTACTGTATTGAAGGGACAGATGTGCTTCAAGGGCGGAAGTTTTCTGCGAATTTTTTTCTGGAAAATATTGAAATACTGTTATCTTTTGATCCTGTGGCAGAAATAAAGCATTCCTGGAGATTTTCTTGGAATGTTTCATGAGACGTTGTTGGTTCTCAACTCATTTCCTGACTAAATGAAAGTTGTTAAGGTGTTCCACCAAAGTTGTATGTACAATGCAAATTTTATTCATGGAAATCAGTGAATGGTCACATGGCTATACCATAAACCATATAAACTCCAAACTGTTTGAAACATCTTGATGTCCTATTAAAAATTTTTTTTTA